GTTATCATGTGGAAGGGCAGGGAGATCCCAGACCAGAGCCATACTGCCAAATATAAATAATTGCAATGAAGTATATTTTTCTTGACAAAGGGGTCCTGACTGAAATCTTGTTGCTGTAATATTTAGCCTCTTGTATATGTGCAACTAAATTATACAGAAGTTGCAGTCCACATTTACTTTATTTTATTACCCTTTAATATGATGTTTAGTTTTATTGTAAAATGCTTTAATTTGATGGTTTTTGACGAGGCATGTTAAATCTCCATCACTTCTCTTTTATTTCCATTTCCTCACCTTGTTTGTTTCCCATGTTTTTATTTGTATTTTTTAAAAAACTTCAAAAATAAGCACGAGGCAAAGCTTCTGCTTTTGAAGATATTTATTCATTGCACTGTAATAAAAACCTTGTCTCCTCAAAATACCTAATAATCTCAGTCGCACTTATTGGTCCAACACTTTATATTTATGTGTAAACATCACCTGAAATCAAGGAATTGAATCACAAACATTACAAAAGTGGCAAAATGGATTATGCATAGTATTCGTTGGGCACATGAATTAATATATTGACTACTTACAGGACTTTTTATTTTGTGTATATGTGAATATTAAGAGTGTTCTGTTAAACTTTTAATAAAGCATCTTTAAACAACTGATGCTTAAAATTCATTTGAAATCATTTTGTAAATAAAATGTTAAAAACTCATCCATCTCTGTCAGAATTTCACTAAATCTTTGGGTATTAGCCTGTAAACATTAGAGGCCTAGAAACTGTATTGCTAAATGTCACAAAGGCCCTACAGAGCCAGGTTGACTGGGCTTTAGGACCATGCCAGGTTATGTGAGAGAATAGAGGTAGACATATGCTTCTCTTAATGACAAGTTTAACAACTACAAACAAATCTAACCTTCATGTTGCAAAGCAAACCTGTCCCTCAGTGATGCAGCATTCATGTCAAGTAGTGTCAATGTGTAGGATCTGCATCGTAGATTATTTTCACTAAAATCACTGACTGTGTTCACAGAGAAAGAACATCTGTCTCACTTTTCCTGAACTGAATCCCTTCAAATGTTAACTTCTCTGTGTATGTGAACCCAGCCAGTGACTCTGGTTGCACCCTGATGGTCTAAATGTTGAGTCAGTGACCACCTCCCTGTTTCTGGATGGACTTCATGTTAGTAGGTTTTTAATTGTGTACTCTGTCCTCCAGAGCCTTCAGCTCAGCCTCCACCTGAGCTGGCAGATCAGCTCCAACCTGCTGAGTGAAGTAAGCTCTCAACTCTTTTGTCTCCTTCTGCCAGAAAGGAACAGGCACGTCAAACAGAGCACCCATATCCACGTTGCCACTCAGACCTTTAGTGTCGACGGCGCCATCTACTGGCAGCCAGCCGATAATGCTCTTCTTGGCTGCTTCATCCTCACTCTCCCTGCCGCAGCGCTTGAAGATCCACTCCAGCACGCGGGCATTTTCACCAAATCCGGGCCAGAGGAAGGAGCCAGATGCGGGGTCCTTCCTGAACCAGTTAACATGGAAGATCTTGGGTAAATGAGTGGGGGCCTTCCTGCGCTCCATGCTCAACCAGTGAGCGAGGTAGTCACCAAAGTTGTAACCGAAGAATGGACGCATGGCAAAGGGGTCATGCATAATGACCTTTCCTGAAGGTAACATGACATACTTTAGCAGTAGTTATAGTAACTTCCTCACCATCCTATCTTCAAAGAACAACTCTTAAATGATTTGTGTGAGCTTGTACCTTTATGCTCAGCAGCTGCCGTGGCCTCTGACCTCATGGCTGCTCCAACAAAGACTCTGTGCTGCCAGTTGAAGGACTCATAGACCAGAGGAACTCCTGACAACATCAGCATTTGATCAGTTTCATGCACACTTGTTTGGGTTTTGGGAAATGTTGCTTGACTTGCCATGTTGATATTAAACACAGATTGTAGTGCACATGTTAAGAACAAGGCAGCACAAACAATGTGAAGCAGGAGGTGCTGCTATGCTGTATATTATATTGTTATCACAGCAGCTACACTGTAACTGAGAGATCTGTTTTATGCACACTGTTGTAGTATTTTTCAGTCTGAATCAGAGTACAACAGTGCAGGACTATGATAGTGGTGTAATACAGCTTAAGCTTTTTATAAACCTAATTATAAAAAAACGTATTAAAAACATGTTCACACTATTTTTCCATGCTTTGAATAAAAGGACCTTTACCTTTATCTGAACTCATCAAGCTCGTCTTTACCTATCCTGTCTCTTTCTCTTAAACAGGATGTTTTTCTTTTCCAGTCCAGTGTCCTGCCTTTATTCAAGAGATAGGACAGTGGATAGAGTCGGAAATCAGAGAAGAGAGAGAGAGAGAGAGAAGAGAGAGAGAGAGAGAGAGAGAGAGAGAGAGAGTGAGGACAGGTCAGATTTAACCCTGCAGCTGTCTGCTTGGAGGACTAATGCCTCCGTACATGGGGGCACCCACTAACCACTGTACCACCGGT